TGTACTGGTCCCTGCTCTCGTGGAGTTAATTATAGTGCAGCAATCCCCAACCTTTTTGGTACCAGGGACCAGTTTCATGGAAGACCAATTTTTCCAAGGGGTGAAGGGGATGGTTTCAGGATGAAACTGCTCTACCTCAGATCATCAGGCATTAGATTCTCATAAGGAGCATGCAGCCTAGATCACTCACATGTACAGTTCACCGTAGGGTTCTCACTCCTGTAGGAATCTAATGCTGCCCCTGCTGCGACAGGAGGCAGAGCTCAGGCAGTAGTGCTTGCTCAGCGCCCCCTCACCTCCTGCTGTGCCGCCCAGTTCCTAACAGGTAACGGACTGGCACCAGTCCAGGGCCTGGAGGTTGGGGACCCCTGCTCTAGTGAGAAGGATACTAAAAAACACAGAATACGAAAAAAGGTACCAGATCATGGTAAAAACAATACAAGGAACTTAAATACAGTGATGCAGTCAAGAGTGCCTGGGAGAGCTACTTTCTAAAGTCAGCAGGGAAGATCCCTCCGAAGAAGTGACATTAGGCCTACGTTTAAATGACAAGAAGGAACCAGCCAGGCAAAAACGGGAGAAGAGAGATGTGCAAAGTCCCTGCAGCAGACACACCAGGCGTTTGGAGAATAGAAAGAGGGCCAGGGCAGCAAATCACTTCAGTACAGCTCACATTTATCATCTGCAAAACGGCGGGTTGTGAGGATTAAACTGTTAGCACCACATGTGCACACAGAATGTGTTCGACAAGCACAAGTTTCTAGAATTATCTTCCTCCTGATCATCACCAATGAGGTGCCATCATTGGAGGTGTGCAAACAGAGACTGGGTGAGCACATCACAGGCATGGCTGGGTTATAGGGCCTCTAAGGTTCCCTCAACAATTAAATCCTAGGATTAGACAAGAAGAGAAAATGCAAAGAAAGAAATTATAACATTGTTGCAGGCAGGCTTCCAGCCCAAAGCCTCTTAAAGAACACATTGAATTATCCAAAGAAGTGAAGCCTGGCCCGACTATTTCATTCATCAAATAGTTCTTTCCCAACTGAGCGTTTATAATCCCAAACTGTCAAGAACTCCACATGGAACCAGCTGACACACTCTCCTTTTCCCGAAGTCTACTCTTTCTACCAGCTCTGGACTAAAACCACAACACTGAGAGCAACAGAAAAAGATGACTTATTCTAGGCTGCTAGGTTTCATGTATGTTAATTTTGAATGAAATAGCAGTGAGGATATTCTTTGATCATATATGCATCCCAAACCATTTTATTATTGCATGTTTGAAATGTTCCAAGCAGAAATTTCTGTATTACATACTATACTGGCAGTAAATTTCACTTTTAAAAAATTGTTATTCCTTGCTCGAACCCGGAAGGCAGAGGTTGCAGTGATCTGAGATTGCACCATTGCACTCCAAGCCTGGCAACAGTGTGAGACTCCATCTCAAAAAAAAATATTTTTTTTTTATTCTTGCCCTCAAAATATTTACTAACGGGTTGAGCTTTCTGAAGTGCACTAATAAAGGCTGTTATTAATACAGTTCTTGATGATGAACTTGTCATATGTGCCTTTAAGTTAGAGAAAGGTAGGTCTACTTCACACCAAATCCTTGATTGTTAGAGATCGAATTCTTTCCAGTTCCTTTCTAAAACTCACCCGAACCCAAGGCAAGTATACTACAACCATAAATAATATATGGCTTTTGTATTTATGAAACTACTTCATTACCCCTTGATAACTTTCTATTTCTGTTTAGATGGTGGAAATGGCTTTAAAATTATAAAAATTTTAAAAAGCTCACACATGGCATGAAACAAACTAATACTGAGGGGAATAAAAATAATCCTGATAATTTAACATAGAACATATATACATTTTTATTATGCCAGTTTTATTGTGCCAGGCTTTTGGACAGTCCAAACTCAAGGATTTGGAAATCAGAAACTGCATTCTCCATCCCTCCACTCTCATCCAATTTCCCCTCAAAAAAGAAACCTGGAAGAGCAGACGAGGATCAAAATTTTTCTGTAGGAAAGTATTCCCTTTAAAAAAAATGGAAAAGCAACAAATTTGGCATGTAGACAGAGAATCTTTAAAATACATATTATATGTAGGTAATTCTTATGTCTTAATCTAAACTAAAAATCCCTTAAAATATGTAAATTTTTGGCCAGGCACAGTTGCTTACACCTATATTCCCAGGACTTTGAGAGCCTGAGGTAGGCAGATCACAAGGTCAGGAGTTCGAGGTCAGCCTGATCAATATGGTGAAACCCTGTCTCTACTAAAAATACAAAAAATTAGCCAGGTGTGGTGGCGGGTACCTGTAGTCCCAGCTACTCAGGAGGCTGAGGCAAGAGAATTGCTTAAACTCAGGAAGCAGAGGTTGCAGTGAGCTGAGGTCACGCCACTGCACTACTTCAGCCTGGGCGACAGAGTGCAACTCGATCTCAAAAAAAAAAAAAAAAAAAGGAAATTTTGGAGTACCATGAAATATTACCTCTGAATACTAAGCATTCACCTTAAAAGAATTTTGTTTTTAAAGTCCCTTCCAGAAAGCCAGATTGGAGCTAATAGGCCCATTCACATCCAAATTTATCTACTGGCCTTTGCAACATAATTCAGCCAAAGAATGTGATTCACATCTAAGCTATGCAACAGCTAGGTTTTCAATGTATTTTGAAGTAGATGACACCACAAAAAAGAAATAGTCATAACCTTGGCAACAAAACACCCTAAACAATTTGATAGCCTTTAAGAATACAAGAACTTAGTAATGTGGGTTCATTGAAGAGCTTTAGAAAATATAAATCAGCAAAAAAAAAAAAAAAATTTAAATAAAAATAATAATCTCAAATGCCAAGATGACCACTATTAATACTTATTGTATACTTCACTAATTTAAAAAAAATATTTTTCACATAAATTACTTCACATAATACATACTTGTTTACTTACTATACCAGGAACACTGTTCTATGTTCATACACACACATGCACACACATACATCCATTTCACTTTTTATGAATGCTCAATCTTCTATGTTATGGATATACTCTAATTTAGTTAGCTCTACTGAGATCATGTATGATCTGTTCAGATGTGTTAAAGAAACAGAATAGGTTTAAACAACTATTTCCTAAAGCTGTTTGACCATAACATCCCTTTGTGAATTACACATTACCAATCCTAGAACTTTTGATCTTTTCAAAATACTTTGGGAAATAATGACATAACCAATTCCTAATATTAGATTTTCATGGTGTTTACAATGTTTTCTATTATAAATGATACTGTGATCAACTTCTTGAATATACCTTTTTATGTATTGCCTAGGGAAAACTCTAGAAATAGAATTATTCAGTTAACTGATATGCATGTGTTAAAAACGTGTTATCATTTTTGCCAAATTGTTCTCTGGCAGTATTTGAGGTTCGTCAGTGTTTTTAAATGACAGTTTTAAATTTAAATAGTTTGTGACTTTATACGTTCATCATATATACACTATTTCTGAAATTAGGTAATTACTCCTTACGGACATGACTAAAGTACAAGTTATAATTACCAAAAGTCTTACTAGAATGAAGGTTGACTCAGAAAGCTATTTAGGAATATACCTCCTCACAATTTGCAGAAAATGACAAGTATGGAGACATTAAATTGTTTCTCTTCCATTTTCCTCTGTTATATTTACATACGTCTGAATACATATCCCACACTCTTAAGGAAATATTAATAATCCCTTACATTTATATAGTACTTTATACTACTAAAGCATCTAAAACAAAAAGAATTTTACAGGAATAGAGCATCCTCAAAGCATATTTTAAAACAAGATATTAAGCTATGCCTTCAAAAGACCCCTCAAGCTACACAATAGTTGCTACATATTTACAGCCATATCTATAATAACCAAAATGTTTACCAATCAGCCAACACTGGTATCGTGGAGGAAAATGTGTATTCTAAGTTCGTTTAGATCTTATTTTCACTGTGTATTTCTACAGTTTCACATAAGAAATAAGCTCCTAACATAATATAAAAACGGTTCACATAGCAAAAACAGGCTTTGGGTTCCTTTTTTGTCTTTAAAGTGACACTGGATATAATTTTACACCTCAAAGTAACTTTTCAAAGTTGCTTAAGTATAGTGTTCACACACACTCAGGGTGGAGTTCTGTGTAATTTTCAAAGCTGAGAAGTGCTCTGCCTGTTCAAAAATATCTCCCCTTTGAGTTTGTCTCAGAATCATATTTGAAGCTTTTTAAAAATACAGAATTTTTTATTCAACGGGTCTGGAATGGAGCCAATGCATCTGCGTTTTTTAAAACTCCCCAGTTGATTCATCCATACAGCCAGAGTCAAAAAGCACTCAGTTACATAAAAAGATTGATGGAGGGGGTAGCATCCTGAGTACCCCAATTTCACTGTTCATGTGAAAACTGGGAATCTGTCTGAGTCTGGCTTATTAGATTATCTAGGTGAAAACTTTACCTTGAGAAGGCTCATAAGAAGCTTCAGGGTAGGACATCTGTTGGCCTATCAATGGCTACCAACAGGGATGGGGGTGAGGATATATGGTAAAGAAATCAAACTGTGAAAGGATCCTTCCTCCCAGAAACTGTGACACTTTCTACATTGAGCATATAATCCCTTCAATTTCCAGAAAATAGAAAGAAAAATGCTCAGCTGATTTTTATTGTGATGGAGTAGTCTTCCAAATGAACAACCTTTAGCGACAAGCAGCAGTTTCACTAAGCAATGCCAATCAACATACAGTGACACAAAATTGGGTTGAGAAAGGAGAGGACACTTAGGGATATTATACCTTTTACATATCCCTTTTCCAGAATTATAGTCATTTGTCATAATTCAGTTTCTCAAAAGAACTTCACCTCCAAGAAGTTCTTGCAAGAGCAATGCACATCAATCCAAGAAACATTATGTTTTCTAAGTACATAAAAATCCGTAACCATCTTGAGCTTCCTTTACTCACCAGATCTGGACTTAATGATATCGCTGAATTCGTTCTGCCCATTGTCAGGGCTGGCTTCATGTTCTCCATACTTGGCCATCTTGCCTGAGTTTCAAGATAATCCAAAAACTTGGTACCGAGTTCTCTTTTTAAGACTTTCAACTTCCTACGATGGTTCAGCTTGACATCAATACCTAAAAAGAAAAGCACTGACTTGAAAAAATATATTTGTATCTTTTATATACAGTTTTTCATAGTAACTATTCATTCACCAAATATTTATTGAGGGCCTACCATGTATAAAGCACTGAGCCAGGCAATGAGGTTATGACTCTCTTATTTTACTTTATTTTTTAAGACAGAGTTTCACTCTTATTGCCCAGGCTGGAGTGCAATGGCATGATCTCAGCTCACTGCAACCTCTACCTTCTGTGTTTAAATGATTCTCTTGCCTCAGCCTCCCGAGTAGCTGGGATTACAGGCATGCATCACCACACCCAACTAATTTTGTATGTTTACTTGAGATGGATTTCACCATCTTGGTCAAGTTGGTCTTGAATTCCTGACCTCAGGTGATTCACCCACATCAGCCTCTTAAAGTGCTAGGATTACAGGTGTCAGCCACCAAGCCTGGCCTGAGGTTATGATGATCAACAAGAGACACAGCCTCTGCCATGATGGAGCTTACACACACTAAGCAATTAATTATATAATGGATTACTTCATTATAATAATGATAGACTATAAGTCATACAAAGGAGAAGCATAGAGTACTAAGAGCATACAGAAGAGGAATCTGACCTGCCCTGGGCAATTAGAGAAGGCTTTCTTGAAGAGACATTTGAGCCAAGGCTTTAAAGATGACAAGAATTTAATTACCCAAAAAGGGAAATAGAAAGAGAAAAGGTAAGAGCTTCCATTCGAAGTGACAGAAAGAATCATGGAGCCGTCAAAGAGTGGAGCACGAGCCAGTGTTTCTGGAGAGAAGACAGACAAAAGACAAATGCACCTTTTGAACCAGGTGAGGAAACTAGACAGGACCAAGGACAGGACCTTGGAGACCAGGTCAAGGGTTTTTGTCTTTATCTGGAGAGCAATGAGGATTCAGTAGATGGTTTGAAGGAGGGAACCAAAATGATCAAATTGGCCTTTTTAAAAAATCATCATAGCTTCTAGGTGGACCAGAGTAATATGTGAGGCACCAGTGATGACTATGGCAGAACACAGCAAAATGTTAATTAAGAAACCTAGGCCATGGGTATATGAATGCTGAATGAAAATTTCTTTCAACTCTTCTATATGTTTGAGATTTTTTTCATAGTAATATGTTGCAGAAAAATGTCTAACCTTAAGCAAGTGATCAAAATTCACATAACCAATCATGGGGCATCATGCAATTCAGTGGAAAATCACCACATCATCTACACAATATCCTTGTCCAGATGTTTAATGTGAAACTTATCATGAGCAGACAAATCTAGACTGTGGCTAGTTTTCAAAACAAATGGCTTGGTCTCTTCAAAACTGGCAATGTCCTGAAAACCAAAATTGCCTGGGAGAAGGGGAACTTTGTGATTTAAAGTAGACTAAATAGACATGACAACCAAATGTAATTTTTTTTTTTTTTTTTTTGTCTGAGTCTTGCTCTGTCACCAGGCTGGAGTGCAGTGGCCCAATCTCAGCTCACTGCAACCTCTGCCTCCTGGGTTCAAGCGATTCTTCCACCTGAACCTCCCAAGTAACTAGGACCATAGGCGTGTGCCACCACACCCCGCTAATTTTTTTGTATTTTTGGTAAAGACAGGGTTTCACTGTGTTGGCCAGGCTGATTTTGAACGCCTGACCTCGTGATCTGCCCACCTCGGCCTCCCAAAGTGCTGGGACTACAGGTGTGAGCCACTGCACCGGCCAACCAAATGTAATTTTGATTGAAGTCAGAATTTTCAAATATTTTGTCTGGGCATGGTGGCTCACACTTGTAATCCCAGCACTTTGGGAGGCCGAGGCGGGCAGATCACGAGGTCAGGCATTCAAGACCAGCCTGGCCAACACAGTGAAACCCAGTCTCCACTAAAAATGTAAAAATTAGCCAGGCGTGGTGGCAGACACTTGTAATCCCAGCTACTCGGGAGGATGAGGCAGGAGAATCGTTTGAACCCAGGAGGCAGAGGTTGCAGTGAGCCAAGATCATGCCATTGTACTCCAGCCTGGCAACAGAGCGAGACTCCATCTCAAAATAAAATAAAATAAAACATTTTGAAGATCATTTGAAATATCTGAATTTGGTATCCATGTTAAATTGCTTTAACATTAGTTAATGGTATTATTGCAGGAGAATGTCTTTGATTGTAAGAGATATGTGGTGAAATATTTAGCAACAAAGTATGATGGTATCTTCAGCCTAAATTCAAACACAATAGCATATATCTGTCGAAATTGATACATATATATTTATGTTGATATATGTATGTAGATATATATATACACATACACACAGACAGAGAGAAAGATGCAGTAAATATTGTAAAATAAGTGGGAAAACTAGGCTGGGCATGGTGTTTCACACCTATAATCCCAGCACTTTAGGAGGCCAAGGCGGGTGATCACCTGAGCTCAGGAGTTTGAGACCAGCCTGGCCAACATGGCGAAACCCTGTCTCTACTGAAAACAAAAAAATTAGCTGGCATGGTGGCGAATACCTGTAATCCCAGCTACTCGGGAGGCTAAGGCAGGGTAATCACTTGAACTCAGGAGATGGAGGTTGCAGTGAGCCAAGATCGTGCCACTGCACTCCAGCTTGGCAACCGATTGAGTGAGACTCTGTCCACCTCAAAAAAAAAAAAAAAAAAAGAAAGTAATGCAAATGTATTGGTTTATTTCAAGAAAAATATTAAGTTCCTCAAATGTAAGCCACATTCAGTTTTCATTTTATAATTTCATAAACCTTGAGCTAGACGAAAAATTCCATTTGAAGTGTTTCCAAAAACCTATAAAACCTTCAAATAATTATAAAAAGATGAAAAATAAGCAAAACATTTCCTTCCACTTCATAAAATACTATTGAAAAGCATCTACATTTGCAAATTATTCTAGATTCGAAGAGCTGCCATACTTGACTATTAACCTAGTGGCATAAAAGGAAAACATTCTAAAATGTAGGGGACTTTGCATCCCTCTGACATAATAGCTGAAGTAAATGGACAAGGAATGTGAGATTTCTGACCTTATGACTTACATGAAGGAATATCCAAAGTGTAGGCAGACCTATTAGAGCCTACAATCTACCCAAGGGATTCACTTTCAGTGCTTTTCATTGTGAGATTTATTTGGTGGATACCACAAGATTATAAATGTTAATAATACTATGGTGAGTGTTTTATGAAATCGATGTTAGTATTTCTCTTAAATATGTGAGTATAAATAGTAGTACTACTGCTTTCTTAAGTGTCCGATTTTACTACATCTCAGGATTTTGTTATGCCCAGGGTTCCCTGGTTTTCTAATAGCAGTCCCTAAGTCCCCAGAAAAAAAAAAAGAAAAATGCATTTCTGGAATGCACACATTTTGTGAAATAAAGGATAATATAATGAATTAGCCCTTGTTCATTATACAACACAAATAAGAATAAAAACTCCCCTTTTTCTTTTTCCTCCCATCCCATGCATTGCCTAGGACTGCTCTGGACACTGCTCCCAGCCCATTATTCCCCAGGGTAAGCTAGCTCAGAGAGCTTTGTGATACACGATGTGAAAAACCAAAGGCACCAGATAGTTACCAAAATGTGCTTAACTAGTGAAGATCACCTCACAGGAAAGGAAAGGAGTATGAGGTGCTGTAAGGACAGTGAGTCATTGGCGTCTATAGGAGTTATGAGGAAGGATTGAGNAAAAAAAAAAAAGAGAGAGAGAGAGAGAGAAAGAGAAAGAGTTAGATATAGAAGATTGGATCATCAATCTGACAAATTTTATGAGCGTCTAAAAAACTTTTTTCATTTTTTATAGGCTCTACTACCACTAAAACTTTATGGATTATTATGTGATTACATTCTTTCATTCAAGTTCATAACTACAAAAAGATTTGCTAAATTCTTAAATGTATTTTATTATATTCAAGGACCAAAAACTTTGTTCAGAAGAATGTCTATAAAATTTTATTATGGAAAATTAAGTTTGCCCAAGGAAAAATTCTCTTTCCTGGAAAGAGTGTATCCCCTTGGAGCAGTAAGTCTAATGTTTCTCTTCACAACTGGTCTTAGCCAAGATCTCCATTTCTATGCTTCCCAAAGTGTTTATTCATCCATAAAAGAGAAAAGTAAACTGCTTACACACTACTTTATTCCATTTGCACATGACCAGTAATACTTCTTCACTATAATGTTTCACTTGCCACTCTCAAGGTAATTTTTCAAATTTTTTCTCTTCTTGATAATGAAATTCCCTTACAGGTTGCAAAGATACAGCAGAAAAGGCAATCAGAGGACAGGGGAAAACAGGGAGAAAGAAGAATAACAGACGGCCATTTAAACAGTGATAGCCACTGAGATTACTTGTTGCCATTAATGGCCAGAGGAATTTGAGTAAACTTAAGGCCAAGGATGACTCCTTTCAATTGACAAATTCAGCATCTTTGGTTGTCAGGGGACAGAATCAAAGTTACACCACGAACAATGTATCCCAATGTGACCCTCTCTCTTCCACACCTATAAAAGGGAGGGACCTCCATCTTCACACAGGGCTAGATGAGGAACTAAGAATCAATGAATAAGATGTTGCTTTAGAAGTTTTAGGCCCTATGCAAATGCAACTTATTGTTACCTCTGCCCTAGATTTCCCTTCCATCAAAATGATATTCTGTCAGTTTAGCCAGATGTTTCTCACTGAAACCAATCCAGTCGAGTCTATATTCACTTACTGTTCCTTCAGAACGTTTCTGGCTGTCACATGGACAACAAGGCAAAAGTGTGTGAAATAAACATAAGGTGTTTATGAAATAAACATAAGGTGACGGCCTTAAAGGAAAAACTAGTGTTTTTATTTTTAGATTTTAGGAATTACACAATGAATATACATATATAATTTTTATTTTGTACTATATTATATATATTTAGCACTATATATCCAACAGTGTGCATTATGACAGAAATGCTATGTAAATGCAAAAACTATTCATTAATTTACTCTAGGAAGCAAAGCCTAGGAATGCTCGGGATAGCAGAAAAGGAAGCCAAGCGGGTAAGAGTTTGCTGCTCTGCTTGAAACACAGTCAAAGAAAACGGTGAGTGCCAAGAACTGCCATTCACACTCGGAAGCGCTCCAAGGAAGGTTAATACTACTGTGATTAATACTGTTTACAGGGGCAATAAATTTTAGGTAAACACCCAAAGGGGAGTTAAAGACTTGTCTCATCGGTCCCATAAAGAGGGGTAAAAGGGGCGGGGAATGGCTCCCCGTCAACCCTGGCGGTCACCGCAGAAGTACCCACAAGCTTCTCATTCCTCCAGCTCTCCCCTGACCCTGAGCTATCTGTAGGCTGCGTCTCCCACGCCCACCGCCAACAAACCGGGAGGGCCCGGATAGACTTCCTGAGGCCGGTGCAAGTTACAAAGGAATGGATGCGGCCGCTGCCGGCAGGCCGGGAGGCCGGGAACGCTGGCTTAGACTACGGAATTGGCCTCCCCCACGCTCTGTGCACTCTGGCCGCGGCGACCACCGGTGCACTGACCCTCCCTCGCGAACTGGCCCGCGAGGCCCTGCTGAGCCGGTGTCCAGTTCATTGTAAAAGAAGGTGCGGGTCCCACCGCTCTCTTGGAAGTCGGGCAACGTTTTCTCCCTCCTTACTAAAAAATGCACTGGAATGAGTCCCTTTCGTAATACGGGGCTTGGGGGAAAAATCCCTTTGAACAACCTGCCATCTAAAAGTTGCACAGCCTTCAATTGGTGCTTTGTTGGTTTGTAAGTGGCCTTGAGCAACCAGAGCCTCGGACCCGGGGCCAAAGGAGGACATGAATTACCTTGTCAGCTGCAGCAAGAGATGCCCAGAGTCCGGAAAAGGAGAGCCGGCGACTGCACGGGACTACACTCCAATGGGGCGTCCCCTCCTCCTGTCCGCTCAGCCTCTCCAGGGCCGCTGGCAGGGAGCTTGACGATCGCACCACACTCTCTGGAGCCCCACCCTTGGGAGCAGCAGCCACCCAGAGGTCGAGCACGTTCCCCGCCGGGCGGCTGGCTGGGAAGCGCTCTGCTGGCCGCCGACCACACAGCCACCCTCTGCCCACCCTCTCCTGTGGACACCACCGGGGCCCCGCCTTCCCCAGGCCCGGGTGTCTGTGACAGACTCTCCTAAGAGGCCACGTCCCCTCCTGCAGATCACTGGCCTAGCGCCCTGCACCGCGCGATGCACGGAGGGCGACCCCGGCACCCCGGCGGGGAGGAGGATTAGAGGAGCAGGGAAGCAGCACCGAGCCGGTCGGAGAAGTTTGGGTCGTTCATAACTAGTACAGATCCCAAGGACCTCCACGCCCGAGCTCTCCACGCCTCCAGCATTCTCTCTCATACCGGAGGGAGCTACACCGAGGCCCGAGGAAAGGGCACGCAAAAGTTACTCCCATCTTCGACTGAGACTTGGGAAGGACCTAGAGACGCCGATCCCAGGCGGAAGAACCGCAGAAAGATCCATCCTCGTCCCGGCCCCCGCCCCATTCCCGCGGGGGCTGTAGTCACATTACCAGCCCGAGGCTTCAATAATGCATGGGCTTACCTGCTGCCCGCGGGCCGCCTCGCCTGCCGGCCGCTGCCGCCGCGCCCCGAGCGGGCCAAGGGCTCCTCTGGGAGCTAAGGGCGGAGTAATCGCGGGGATGTGTGAAAGTGTGAGTTTGGTGGTGCGATGTATTTAAAAAAATAATAAAACGTGGAGAAACAGACAAGATCCGAAATTTAAAAAAAAAAAAAAAAAAAAAGAAAGAAAGAAAGAAAGAAACTGACACCCGAGTAAAAACGCCCCTGCCTTGTGCAATCTTCCTGCCCGGTAGTTCCGCCAAAAACAAAACAGCGCAAACCTGGAACGGGCGCGAAGGCACCAAGTTTGCCAAACGCTAGAGTTTTCCGTCTGCAGAAATGATCCAAAAGAAGGAGGGTGCCGCTCCCCGTGATTCCCCAATCGGCTTCTGGAGCCAGAGGCTCCTCCTCGCCCCTCGGCGGGAGAAAGCCCGGGGCCGGCTGCGGCTGCCTGCTCCCCTCCTCCGAGGAAAGGCGAGTCCACAACTTTGTCCGCGAGAGCGGCTCGCTCCTCCGGCGGCTCCTCCTCCCCCTCCTCCTTCCCGCTGCCGGCCTGCCCCTTTGTTGGAGCGGAGCACAGGAGCAGGAGGAGGAGGAGGGAGGGTGGGGCGCAGGACCGCTGGATCCCGCGTCGTCGCCCCCACCCCCCAGGAAGGGGCTTGCTCTGGGCAGTCGGGGTCCGCTCTCCCGAGAAGGAAGTGCCAAGCCGCGCCACCCCGCCGGTCCAAGCCTCTGCAGCGCCCAGGCTCCCCCTTCGGCGCTCTCGCCCGCCGCCGCCGGCCCAGCAACTTTGTTCCGGGAGATCAGCCCCACTACGCTCCCGGGTCGGCGTCGGCCGGGCCTCGGCGGTCACCGCTGGCACCGTGTCGGGAACTTGGCTCCCCGGATCACCTGACCGCGAGCCCCGTCAATCAGCGCCCGCCCTGCGCACCCTCCCAGCCCGCAGCAGCCCGGCTCCGCGCTCCGCTGGCCTGGGGCGCGCGCTCCAGAGGTAACCGTGCGTGCCGGGAGCCGGGAGCCGGGAACCCGAAGCCAGAAAGGATGCCTCGTGCAGACACAATTCCCCTTATTCAGATTATCCGAAAATGTGAGTCACGTCCCCTAGGCAAAGCAGGTCTCTAATTAGGGTGATTTTTTTTTTAAGAGATAAATCCCAGTCTGCCTGCCAACTCACCCCATCTCTGTTTGCTGACGTTGCTGATTTTTTTTACCCTAGTTTCAACTGTATATTTATTTTACATTATTTCCCTAATGTAGTTTTTAATATTAAAAAAAGAAGTTTTGTCTTACATCAGTTTGTATTACAAGTAGTGTTTGCGCTGACCTTATTTTTCTCTTTTCCAATATGCACACACAAACGCACATCTGTTATAAAGCCTGTTCCAAGCTTGCAAGGTTGACCAAAACAATACCTAGAAAGAAATGAGCTTGTGATGTGTGTGCCTTTTTCTTATTTACACATTTCATTGCTCGTGTGTTTCTGTGATTCTTTTACACGATCAGCACAGGTGGAAGGGGAAAGATAAAAGAGCAACCTAAGTTCCTAGTTCGTATTAACAGAGAAAAGGATGGTTGATATTCGAGCGTCGGCTTATTGCTGGCTTAACATCTGAGTTAATTTACGCGGCGGTAAAGATTAAACCACTAGGGGCCTTAAACGAATTTTCACAAAGAGTTTACTAGCCTTTTGTTAGTTATAGTAAAAGTCTCCCCAGTCCATCCCTAAGTGCTCCAGGGAGGGGGCAGGTAGGAGATTCCCAGAAGAGAGTCTTCCTTACAAGGTTTCTAGGACAGCTTTCTTTCTTTTGATGATTTTCTACATATAAGCCAAATAAAATCCAAAGGATTAACTTGAAATGGGTATGATTTTATTAATTCACTTCATTCCTTCATTCATTTAACAAGCGCCAATTTAGGGCTGTCAGGTCTGCTGGCTCTGTGGATAATGCAAAGATAAATCTGATAGTGATCTTACCCCTAAAGAACTTGGAATGTAGTAGGTAAGATAAGGCATGCAGACAAGTAAGTATATACAAGATCCAAGAGATAAATGCCATAACAAAAGAACAGCTCAACTGCTAGCTGAATATGGCTACATAGAGGCACTCCAGGTTTTTTTTAACTGATACCAAAAGTTGCTCCTCACTTACTGTATCCTGGTTGAGTTAACGGAAAACAGATTTCCTCCTTCAAAATAAAAAGGCCACATTGGAGGGTTTGAGGATGTTGTCAATTAATATTTGTGATGCACTTCACAATTTACAAAGTGCTGTAATACATCATTTTAGCTCAAAAATTTTGAAACACACCCGTTTGGGGTCCTACAATTTCTGAGATTTTAAGCTCTGAGGAAATGTTTAGTCAAGGTTCCTCGACGCCTGTAAGAGATGAAAAATGGGGCCAACAGCCACCTTCTGTGCAAGGAGTGACCTGCCCGACACGTCGGCCATGGTGGCTTACAGAGAGTTACCTGGGGACCTGTACTCTGTCTATTTCTAGCCCTTCTCCCCAGGCAGAGACTGATGTTCTTTGTAGGGAGTGCACAAAAGAGGCTAAAGAAATTCTTATTGGCCAGGTGCAGTGGCTCACACCTGTAATCTCAGCACTTTGGGAGGTGGAGGCAGGTGGATCCCCTGATGTCAGGAATTCAAACCAGCCTGGCCAACATGGAGAAACCCTGTCTCTACTACAAATACAAAGATTAGCTGGGCATGGTGGTGTGTGCCTGTAATCCCAGCTACTCAGGAGGCTGAGGCATGAGAATTGCTTGAATCCCTGGGTGGAGGTTGCAGTGAGACAAGATGGTGCCACTACACTCCAGCCTGGATGACAGACCAAGACTCTATCTCAAAAGACAGATGGAGAGACAGAAGGAAAGAAAAAGAAAGAAAGAGAGAGAAAGAAAAGAAGGAAAGAGAAAGAAGAAAGAAAAGAAAGAAAGAAAGAAAGAAAGAAAGAAAGAAAGAAAGAAAGAAAGAAAGAAAGAAAGAAAGAAAGAAAGAAAAGAAGGAAAGAAAGGAGGGAGGGAGGGAAAGAAAGTATTGATGGAATGATCAAGAGAAAGAAGAAAAAGAAAGAGAGAAAAGAAAAGAAAGAAAATTCTTGTTGATGGAATGATCAAGAGATCTCAAGCTGGTCCTGTCCACCTGCACTTTCTTTATTCAGTGGGGAAACTACATTTGGGGAGAGATCTTGACCACAGAGGGCTGTATTTCCATAAGGCACAGTGTGATCTTCCTTCATTCACATCCAGAGAATCTAGGTGACGCAAGGTAAGGTCTAGACAGGCCTCAGGGGTAGTGGGCCTGCAACAAGGATGCCCAGTGAGGTTTTGCCTGCTCATCCCAAAGATCAGATTGCTGTAGGGCATCTGGAGAGAATGACGGGAATGTGGCCTTGGGTCTGCTGTTAACCCAAAGTCAGAATCGCCCTGCAGTCACCATGGAACAGTAAAAATTAAAGAAAGGTGAGTTAACCTCACTGGAGGGGAGAAAGCCTTTGACAAAGGAGAAAACTATGATATGGGTAGCGTATATATAGGTTCATATATAAAGATGTATGTATTTGTATGTATAGTGTATACAGACATGATTCGAATAAATATTGTTCATATACAGGGAACTGCATCCTAACATAAGAACCAAAAAGAAAACATTTGCTACCAAACTTTGTGCAAGAGTATGTAAATGCAGTTTCTCTTTAAACAGTAGAAACATGGGAAAATACAGAATATATTAAAAAATCGAGACACTCCTTTAGCTTTACCTTCAGTATTGACTATGATTAAAGCCCCATATACAAGCATTTAAGAGAGGAAAAAAGTTTAGGGAATTTAGCTTTTCTTATATTTTCCAGGTCAAAAAAATATAAATCTGGAGTTTGTGTATAATAGATACTGGATTATTTGCTGAGTATTGTTGATAAATTCTTCAAACATCTAGTATTTGGGCAAGTTGATAAAATTTTATCATATAAATAATTTTTGTAATGGAATTAAAGAAACAAAAAACAATAGCACATGAAACTTTTAGAGAATAAATAGCACAAAGGCTGAGTCCCTTGCAACTTTCTGCATTCAATAATTACCCAGAGAATATATTTTGAATTCAGATTGACTGCCGTTCCCCAGAAATTCTGATTGAGTAAGTCCGGTGTCACCCAGGAAGCTGCAGGTTTAACACGCAGCTCAGGTTTAGATCAGGATGGCTGAGGAGCCACACTTTGAGCCCCTGCGCCCTGGGGGGCCAGCCTCAAATAGGTCACTTTAGATGATTGGAGGGGTCAAGAAATTGCCCTACCAAAGTAAAAATCCAAACTGGATCAATCAAAATTTTGAAGTACCTATGATTAGCTTTATCTCTCTGAATTCATGTGTTTCATTTGACTCAGACCATCCTGGAGGTCACCTACAATTGTTAACACCCTAGGAGTATTCCCGGCAATTTAACCTGCACA